GGCGCCCGAGGCGTCCACGCCCGTCGTGAACACGTCCGTGCAGTTCACGTCGTTGCACAGCAGCTGGTCGCAGCCCACGTTGCCCTGCGCGGTGAGCCGTCCAGCGTGGCCGAGCCCGTGAGGGCCCGAAGGCTCCGAAGTGCAGCTTCGCGATTCCGCCCGGCGGCGCCGAGAAGTCCAGGCGCGCCGTGCAGACTCCCTGCGAGGGCGTGCCGAGGAAGGTGCCGGTGACGCCCACGTAGTCGTTGTCGGCCGCGCTGACGTACATCACCAAGTTGGAGGCCGTGCCCAGCCGGTACCGGCAGCCGAAGGAGTAGCGTCTCCCCGGCGTCAGCGTGTAGGTGCGCACAATGTTCCAGGCGCAGGGTCATGGCGTAGCCCTTTCAGCTGGAAGCCTCCCACAGTGAAGCTGGCCGAGGCCACGGAGCTCTGGCTGTTGGAGCGCACCAAAAAATTTCCTAATGTGGTGAGCGTGGGCTCCAGCAGCACCTCTCCCAGGGTGGCCAGCGTGACGTCGTCGGCCCCTCCGTCGAGGAACTCGTGCTTCAGCAACAGGGCCGAGGCCGCCGTGTCCTCCTCCTCCGTGTTGCCGGCCTCCAGGGTTGCGTCCAGGATCTGGAGGCCGTAGACGTCCACCGTTCCTGCCGTCTGGTTGGGCAGGCCCGGCGCCTGGAAGTGCGCCCCGAAGTGCAGCTTCGCCACTCCGTTTGGCGGCACGGTGAAGTACATCTTGGCCGTGCTCCAGGCGCCCTCGTCTCCCGCGAAGCTGCCGTACAATGGGTCGTAGACGTTGTCGGCCTCGGACATGTACACCACGAAGTTGGAGGCCGTGCCGAGCCGGTAGCGGCAGGCGAAGAGGAGCTCTCGGCCCGGGGTCAAGTTGTAGGTGCGCGCAATGTTCCACGGGTTCGCCGCCAGGGTCAGGGTGTAGCCGTCCACGCTCACTCCCGCGGTGTGCGTGGCCAGGACCACGCTGCAGCCGCTGCTGGGGCGAACCGTCCAGTTTGACAGCGAGACGTCCGTGGGGCCCAGGATCTGCTCTCCTATGGCGGCCACCACCTCGTCGGCCCCTCCGTCGTCCGGAAAGCGCACTGCTATCTGCAGCGCAGAGGCTGCCTCCGTGACTCCGAGCTTGCCGGCGAGGAGGCCGTCTACTTGTGCGATGGTGTAGTAGCTGAGCAGCGCGGCTGCGATGCTCGAGGCCGTTGCCGTGTCCTGGTCTGCGGCTGAGCGGTACGCCGCCACCAGCGCCGAGGTGATTTGGTTGGTTTGAACATTACAAGGAGCCAAGTTACATAGAGCCAAGTTACATAGAGCCAAGTTACATAGAGCCAAGTTACATAGAGCCAAGTTACATAGAGCCAAGTTACATAGAGCCAAGTTACATAGAGCCAAGTTTACATAGAGCCAAGTTACATAGAGCCAAGTTACATAGAGCCAAGTTACATAGAGCCAAGTTACATAGCCAAGTTACATAGAGCCAAGTTACATAGAGCCAAGTTACATAGAGCCAAGTTACATAGAGCCAAGTTACATAGAGCCAAGTTACATAGAGCCAAGTTACATAGAGCCAAGTTACATAGAGCCAAGTTACATAGAGCCAAGTTACATAGAGCCAAGAGCCAAGTTACATAGAGCCAAGTTACATAGAGCCAAGTTACATAGAGCCAAGTTACATAGAGCCAAGTTACATAGAGCCAAGTTACATAGAGCCAAGTTACATAGAGCCAAGTTACATAGAGCCAAGTTACATAGAGCCAAGTTACATAGAGCCAAGTTACATAGAGCCAAGTTACATAGAGCCAAGTTACATAGAGCCAAGTTACATAGAGCCAAGTTACATAGAGCCAAGTTACATAGAGCCAAGTTACATAGAGCCAAGGTTAGGTAGAGCTTAGAGCTTCGGCGTTAGCAGCTATGTAAGTTAGTTTAAGTTTCTAAGGCGCCGGGGCGGGGTTTGATCGTCGCTCGGGATTGCGACCCTCTGCGGAGATTCGCGTGGTCGAGGTTCAAAAACTGGGGACTTTTTACGATTTCTGCGGCGGGCGCGCGACCCTCTGCGGAGATTCGCGTGGTCGAGCTTCAAAAACTCAGGACTTTTTGCGGAGATTCGCGTGGTCGAGGTTCAAAAACTGAGGACTTTTTACGATTTCTGCTGGCCGCGCGCGACCCTCTGCGGAGATTCGCGTGGTCGAGGTTCAAAAACTGAGGACGATTTCTGCGGTCCACTTTCCCGAGAAGCTGTTGCGCAGCAGGGTGTATGAGCAGGCAGCCCGTCGCCCGGCACGGCCTCTCTCAGCGCCCGGCAGGCGCAGCAAGGAGCGCGCAGGTTTGCGACGGGCTCGAAGGCGTTGACGCCGCGCACCTCCAGGCCCGGGCGCCGGGCGGCAGGTAGTGCTCCAGCTTTCCGGAACCGAAGAAGGGCGAATGCAGTACAGTGACGTCGCCCAGCAGCCGGGCCAGCCACGCCTTGCTTCCCATGTATTTCAGACGCATGCCGGCCTTTAGTTTTATCATGAACTCTGTACTTGCCTTTCCTGTTTCCTACCAACAGTTGAGGCTCTTAGTAGGCGACTACTGATTCTTCATAGGTGTGAACGAACGAATCACAAAAAGATAAATTAACTCTTTGTGTTTCATCTGACCCACAGTTCTGTAGGGAATCCAATCCTGTGTGGTTGTTCCAGGTGGCGCATGCGGGAATGTCAGTATGTGCACTTTGGTTTGTGTGGCTTCTGTCCGCATCAGCAGCTTCACCGTAACCTGTGTCACAGCTCCTGGACAAAGGCTCCTCTGTGGCCGGCGCTGCTTTGTCAGTCTGATCGTGCTGCGCACTTCTTTCTACAACACGTTGAGCCAACGCCTCTGACTTGTTTTTCTGGACATTTGCAACCGCAATGGGTTTTATGAAATCTTCCCACTGCTCACAAAGCCAGTGTGGATCGAAGTCGCCAGCCATCGAAGGCCGACCTTATGGTTCGCTTGGAAATGCCGAACGCGAAATCGTTTGAGGGGTGGAGTTCCACCCAGCACTTGGTGGGCATTGTCCACAAATGGCAGCATTATAATCCTGTATCAGGTTGGAAGGCCTGGGTTTACAGGCTTCATTCTGCAAGGAGTGTATTGGATCATGCGGGGCCTTTTGGCTCAAGTATGATCAAAACTGGCTAATTTTAACTTCTGGTTTTTTGCGTGTTCGGCAAGGGTTACTTGTCAAATGTTGGCAGCTACACGGATCGTCCTATCTTGTCCACAGGCGCCTACCTCGACTTTAAGCGCCGTGTGGGCAATTTGCTGCACCGGCTGCTCTGGCTTTCGGCCGTGGAAGTGTTGCATGCCCCCTTCGTGCAAACGCCCCTGCCCGTGGCTGATAGTGGGGAGATACCCCACCTACAATTTGCACCCTGCATTGATGCCCCTTGTGTTCCCGTTCATTGGCACCTGGTGTCGGCGTGCAGTCTTGGTTCAAGGAGGCGCGTCTGCCGCGGAGGCCTGGGCCGGGTGTGCTCCGCGTACTACGTTTGTACTTAAAAGTTGCGATTCTCCAGCCGGAGCTGCGGGGGTGTGCTCCGCGTATTACGTTTGTACTTAAAAATTGCGATTTTCCACTTGGAGGTGCAGGAGCATGCTTCGCGTAATACGTTTGTACTTAAAAGTTGCGATTTTCAAGCCGGCGCGAATCTCCGCAGAGGGTCGCGCGCGCATTCTAAAAATCGTGAAAAGTCCGCAGTTTTTGAACCTCGGCCACGCGAATCTCCGCAGAGGGTCGCGCGCGCATGAAATCGTAAAAAGTCCCCAGTTTTTGAACCTCGACCACGCGAATCTCCGCAGAGGGTCGGCGACGATCAAACTCCCGCCCCTGGCGCCTTAGAAACCTAAACTAACTTACATAGCTGCTACCGCCGAAGTAAGCTCTACCTAACCTTGGCTGTACCTAACCTTGGCTCTATGTAACTTGGCTCTATGCAACTTGGCTCTATGTAACTTGGCTCTATGTAACTTGGCTCTATGTAACTTGGCTCTATGTAACTTGGCTCTATGTAACTTGGCTCTATGTAACTTGGCTCTATGTAACTTGGCTCTATGTAACTTGGCTCTATGTAACTTGGCTCTATGTAACTTGGCTCTATGTAACTTGGCTCTATGTAACTTGGCTCTATGTAACTTGGCTCTATGTAACTTGGCTATGTAACTTGGCTCTATGTAACTTGGCTCTATGTAACTTGGCTCTATGTAACTTGGCTCTATGTAACTTGGCTCTATGTAACTTGGCTCTATGTAACTTGGCTCTATGTAACTTGGCTCTATGTAACTTGGCTCTATGTAACTTGGCTCTATGTAACTTGGCTCTATGGCTCTATGTAACTTGGCTCTATGTAACTTGGCTCTATGTAACTTGGCTCTATGTAACTTGGCTCTATGTAACTTGGCTCTATGTAACTTGGCTCTATGTAACTTGGCTCTATGTAACTTGGCTCTATGTAACTTGGTAACTTGGCTCTATGTAACTTGGCTCTATGTAACTTGTAACTTGGCTCTATGTAACTTGGCTCTATGTAACTTGGCTCTATGTAACTTGGCTCTATGTAACTTGGCTCTATGTAACTTGGCTCTATGTAACTTGGCTCTATGTAACTTGGCTCTATGTAACTTGGCTGTATGTAACTTGTCCAAGGGCTCCGCACGGAAGAGCCCTTCGCGATGCTTTCGGGAAAGCTGATAAATGCTTAAAACACCACGGCCGTCTACGCCGTGCACCAACTACAGTAGCAACATCGTACTGCCTGGGAGTAAAGAAAAGCTTGAGCAAAAACCAACAACTGATCCTTTTCTCGACCCGTTGACTATGGGAAACACAATGTGGGCAACTTTGAACCAGCGCTTTGTGTCCAGTCTTTTTTTTGCTTATGTCGGCTCAGCTTGTGTAGCGATATACTGCGATGAATATTCTCAAGTCCATTTGACCCGCGAGCTTGACGCTAGCAGACACATTGATTGCAAGCTGCAAAACTCCAAGCGCCGAGCTTCATGGCTGCTGATCCATGGACTGCACTGAAGTCCGCATCTTGGGTATAGGCGGGCTGGGCGTTGTATCGTTTGTTGATTTGCATGTTGAACCATTTTCCACGTGTTTTGCCTGTGGATTTGCTTATTGACGTATTACTGTATTGTCTGTTCGCTTTGTCACGTTTTTCCCGCCATTCCTTATCAGTGCTTTGGCAGGCCCTGGGCTGTTTGGAGTGGTGGTCCTTGGCAGCCTCAGCTTCCTTGGCTTAGAGCCTCGGCGAGTTTTTGAATGCATCGAGCGTTGAGTGCATCGGAAATTGACTCGGACACGTCAAGTGCAAAGAAACGAAATTCCTAATAGTTTGTGCGTTGAAGAACCAAAGAATCATGAGTTCGACACGTTGTGTATGTGTTTCAGGATGTTAATCTGAAAGTTTCATGCACGGCTCTTCTTTCCTAAGGTGGTGACTTCATGCGCAGCGAGGTGCGTCTCTCGCTTGTATTGTTCCCCATGTCATGCATGGCGCTGGCAAGGTCGTGTCGGGCAACTTCGTGCTATGCCTTGCTGCTCATAAATGCGGCTGTGTTCCCCAGCTGCACTTTTGTTGAATTTGCCCCAGTTTTCCGTGCAACGCCTTTGCAGGATATGCTTGCTCATTGTAATGCCCAAGGCAGACTCTGACTCTGTGAGTCAAACTCGAAGTCAAAATTGGCACGTGCAGGGCTGCCAGCAAGTTGTGCAGACGATCGGAGTGAATCGTCAGCGCCTGAGCATGCCTGAGCTGCACCACGCACACAGCGCACTCCCGGAGCAAAGCGAATGCACCAAGCTACAAGTGTTTTGACACGATTGCGTTGCACACAGTTGAATCGGTTGGTGTGAGGTCAAGGTCAGTTCTTGGATATTGCTGTCGCAGGACACGCCGTTTTGATCCGTGTCACATCCATGTCACATCCAAAGCGAGTTTATCGTGCACGGCAGTTCTGGGCATTGGGGCCTGCGGCGCAGTGGGCCTGGTGCTGAAGGAGCTCGGGGCTCGACGCTTAATGCAGGAGGCTCCCCTCTCGCCGCCTTTGCCTCTTTGGCTTTTTGCTTTTCTCATGTCGAGGGAGACTGGAGAAATCACAGGCAGTTCGTGCCACTTTTTGTAACTCATTGATTCATATTGATTCCTTTTCGAGTTTTCGCATCGGAAATTTGGGGCAGGCCTTCCTAAGGCTCCTCTGGCTGCGGTGCCCAGAGACGAGCGCCTTGCCGGTTGGCGAGCTGCACGCGTTTGACACGCGTACTCGAAATCGAAAGAGCTTGGAGCAAATTGGAACTTGAAAAGGTTCCAAGCAAAGCTAAGCAAAGAGAAGGTGGGACACGGTTTTTGGCAATTGAAAATTGAAGGTGTCGCTTTCCTCCGTTTCCTCTCGGCTCCAGGGCTCGGCTCTCGGTCAAAGTCTTGGTCTTAGTTCACAAACTTCAACTTCGTCGTAAATGTCTTAGCACTTGCCTTCACTTGCCACTGGCCATGGCCGGCTTCAGATGGGCCTGAGACTCATTTGACTCACGCTGCAAGGCTTGTACAAGGCTTGAGGCTGTTGCACGTGCTCAAATTTCTTGCGCTGAGGTATTGTTTGCACAGGCGCTGAGAGCTTGAATCGAGTTCGAGTTCAGAGCGGGAAGAGCTTCACTCAATACCAAAGCTGATGCTCAGGCAGCTGCGGCAGCTGTGGCATCCTTGTTTCTGGATGGCCACTGCAGCAGCTTGGTGAACGGCGTGTGGGAGAAGGACGGGGAGCTCTTCCGCCACGGAGCGCTCACAATGCGCCATGGCTCCGACGCCAGCAACGGCTCCGACGGCAACTCCTCCGGCTGGGTGGTGGAGCTGGCGGGGCAGATCCTGGCGCGCGGCGACCTGACGAGCTCCACGTGGGAAGTTTGGTGCGGCGGGACCCGGAGCCACGCGCCCTTGACCGTGACCCCTTTCTCGGAGGCGCGCGACGTTGCAACGAATGCGCAACGTGGATTGGCGAATTGCATGGCATTTCAGGTCATTTCATGACATTGCGATATGGCACGTGTTTGCGGTGACTGTCGCAGGCCATCTTTGAAATTTCAGCAGAGCATTGTGGTGAATGGCTCCGCTTCAGTCGGATTGCTGATCTTCCAATCTACTTTGCCCGCTCTCGGGCCAGTGGGTTCTTTCTCTTCTTCAACTGCACGGAGATTGCTCAGTGGCAGATTGCGCCGGAGATCGCGGAGCTCGCGGAGATCGCGGATGCCGACTGCGTCAACGCCTCGTCACCTCGGCCCGGCACGGCGCTGGCCTCCTGTGACAATGAGTTGACTTCGGTGGAGCTGACTCAGGAGCGGTTCTGGTGTCCCTGGCCTCACTTCCCCATTCTCCGAAAGTTCCCATTTGGAATTGTCCAATCCCTGCAGACTCGATGTGCAGGCTCTCGATCCCCATTTTGCTTCTCGCTCTCTTTCTTTCTTTCTCTCTCTCTCTCTATCCCCTGCAGTCTTCTCCTCTGATTGTTTTTTTCGAGGTGAGCCAAACACACGTTGCATCTCACCCTGTGAAGTCTTTTAGCTCGAGTAATCCCTTTAGTTTCACTTTTTCCCTTCCCCTTCTTCCTTTTGTGAATCCTTTCTTTCTTTCTTTCTTTCTTTCTTTCTTTCTTTCTTTCTTTCTTTCTTTCTTTCTTTCTTAAAATCTTTCTTTCTCTTTCGTATCTTCCTCGGTATCTTCCTCGTTGTCGTCTCTTTTGTTTTCCTGAAGTCCTGTTTCGGGTTTGATCCTTTTCTTTTCGTTTTTCCTTTCGTTTTTTCTTTTTTGTTTCTCTTTTCGCTTGTCTTCTCGTCTTTTCGTCTTTTCATCTTTTTGCCTTTGCGTTTTGGAGGCCGCTGTGTCTTTGGAGCTGTGCGGGCGGCGGTTCCTGCCTTCGGGCCACACCATGTCCGGCCCCCTCTATCGCGTCTCGGCGAAGGGGAAGAAGGGGAAGAAGGGGAAGGACGACACGGGAGAGAGGCAGCAAGAGGAGAAGAGAAAGAACAGAAGGAAGGAAGAAGACGGAGAAGACAAGGTGAAAGAGAGAGAGAGAGAGACACGTTGAGAAAAGTTGAGAAGGAAATGGGTAAGAAGAAGGAAAGGCGAAATAGGAAGGGGAAAGCCAACAGTTCGGGGGAGACATCGGCCGAGAAAAGGGAGGTATATTTTGAGAAAATTTGACAACTTTGAAGATTCCTTCGGGTTTTAGGGGTCTAAAGGTGTCCATGTTTTGGGGGGAGAGAAGCGGTGAAGCGGTAACATGGACACTGAAAGTTCCAAAAGTCCGGGAGTCCAGGTGTCGGTCTGAGGCTCTGAGAACCTCTTCCTCTACTTTGAGCCGGCCTGTGATTCCAGGTCACCTCCACGCTGGGTTGTGTCTTCAGCTCCCTCCACCTCAGATCTCAGTAATTTGGATGGCGATGGAGCCTGCAATTACATGGCAGCCCGGTTTAACTCGAAAGGTCTTCGGAAGAGAATGAAGAGCTTTTTGCTTCTTGCGTCCCAATGCATTTTTCGTAGGCATGGGCCGAGTCCAACCTGACAACTGGCCCGCCTCGACATGGCTGGACTGCCTGGTGCTCTGATCCCAATGTGAGTTTTCAGGACGGTCGGAAAGAGAGAGAACGAGTCCAACGAGGGACAGTGTGACAGCGTGAGTCAGGGCAACCTGCAATTGCCCTTGGACGCCTATATCGAGGCCTATCAACTCGAGGCGAACAAATGCAATGACAACTCTCAGAAATTCCGATAATTGCAAGCAATTTGAAAATCCAAATTTCGAAGACACGCAATTTCGATATGCATTTCGTGTTTCGTTCGGAAGATAGGCGGAGACCTGTGCCGCGCCAAGCGTCTCGGATGTGGACTTGGCGGACTTGGCTGGAGGAGATGCCAATTTGGTCAGGCGCACGAAGCACGGCGCATGACGCACCATGCAGACAATGAAAGCAATATCAGAATGCAAAATACAAATAATATTTTTCTAGGCGCCTCTTTGAAGTTCTACCGAGTCATGTCATGTTTTTTGTATGAGAAACGCATCCTGTGCTTTGATATGGCTGGTTGGCTATGCATGTTGCCCACTCCAACCCCAGATGATGCCGGGGATGCCAGCTTTTTGAACGAGCAGCCCAAAAAGAACAGCCCGCAAGCCAGCCCGGAAACGCAAACGCAAAAAGAAACCAAACAAATACATAGCGGCGTTTTGTGGCTGGGGTCGCGCGCGCGCGCCAGAAGGCGCGAAAGCCAACGGGGAAAAAGCAAGGACCGCGCAGCTCACGAGCCAGCCGCAACAAAAGCAAAGCGGACAGAACCACAGCCCAACGCTCAGCATAGCAGTTTTTGACGGTATTTGCGGCGTTTTGTAGAGCGAGGACCCAGCATCGCCGGCATGCCCGGCAGCGCTTGGCAAAATGCGCGAAAATGAGCCTTGCTGACATCCCTTCGGTACCCTCTAAAAAGCAGTGCTTCATGGGGCGAGAGGCTTTTTGGAAGGAAGTCTCGATGATGCAGACCAAGCCCAGCTGAAGCATCACCCAGGCCCAACCCCAGACCCTGATGATGTCAGCCACGCGGCCTAAACCCTGCGTATACACGATGTTTTGCGAGGGCTTCCCACAGGCAAGCAAAACTGCAGGCCCGAGCTGGTGATGCAGAGGTGCCGGATTTAGGCAACGCATCACGAGCAAGTGATGAGGGTCGGCGGCGCACGGGTGCAGCCCCTATAGCTGAAGCTAGCAGGCAAATTGCCTGGCAGCGACATGCTGCCCCAGGAAGCGTAGCCGACCCCCTCGGAGAAGACTGTGCCGTGACACGGATCATCCATCAAATTATAGGCAAGGGCCCTCTGGTGTAACCAGCGGGTATTTCCAATATGTGGCAGTATCAATAGTTTTCGGTTGACCGCGCGCGTTCAAAACTTGGCAGCAACCACTTTTGGAAGTAGGTCGCGTGGAGGCCTCAAGGCTGACTACAAGCGTCCAGGGATTGCTGGGAGTTCTCGCAGCAATAATGCTGGGGATGCTGAGGGTCGGGAGGTGTTGGGGATGCTTTGCCGCGAAAATGTGGGGGGCAGGATTGCCATAACGCAGGGAACGCAGGTCACGTGGAGGTGATGGACTATGCTCGTCATGGATATTCGTTTTCTGCAAACTGCTCTGGATCTGTACAATTCCCTTCTAGATAGCTAGCTGCATGTGCACCATTGCACATGAGGTCCGGAAAGAGACCTGTAACATTCTCTTTTCATGTTAAGTTTACAGAAACTGGTCAAACTCGCGCAGAGACGTTTCACTGAATTGAAAAAGAGAAGCCGTGCGTCCATGCGTGTCGGCATGCGTTTGTGATTGGTTCCCGACCCAGGGATGAAGTTCGCCACGGGCGGCAGGATTACCATAATTAATGCAAGGAATGCAGTTTGCGCGGAGGTGTCAGGGCTGACCTCGAGCAGCCAGATGGCACATCCAAGGATTGCTGGGAGTTCGCCAGCAGCAGCCTCGCAGCAATACTGCGGGGATGCTAAGGGCTCGGGGGCTGTTGGGGACGCTAAACTGGCGCTATGTATTTTTGCCGCGAAAAATGTGTGCGGAAGGATTGCCATAATGCAGGTAAACATGAAATCATCATGAAGATGATAAGCGTGATGACCGTGATGGTAACTATCATCGTAGCATCCTTTGCGTTACCAATGCTGCCTAACGCCGCATCATGATGATGATGATGACCAAGAATTTACGATGATTACCATGATGCTGATGATAAAGATGATGACTGTCATGATAACTATCATCACTGTGATGATACTATCATCGTAGCATCTTCTGCACCACCAATGCAGCCTTATCAGAAATGATGATGAGCATGATGGTCATGACCTAACGTCGCACTTGAAATGTGTATAAGAAACCATCATGATGATGATGGTAACGGTGATGATGATGATGATATAGGAGGATGACTGTGATGGTAACTATCATCGTATCCTTTGCACCACCAATGCTGCCTAGTAAGAGATGATGATACCATCATCTCTTTCTTAGTCTTATATACACTTCTTCAATCGTGGCGGCTAGAGAGCATTGGTGATGCAGAGGACGCTACCATGATAGCTAACATCACAATCCTCAGCCTCACGATCATTATCATCGTGGTCGGGCGTGATGATGGTGACGAGGATAAGGATAAGGGTGATGGTGATGGTAAGGATGATGATGATGGTGGCCATCATCAGGATGATGATAAGGATGATGATGATGATGATGATGACTGTGATGGAATTTATCAGTGTCGCAATGCTCTCCAACGCCACACTTGAAACGCATAAAAGAATAAGGATGATAAGAAAGAGATGATGATGACGATCATGATGGTGATGATGATGACCATCATGATGATGATGATACGGATGATGATGATGATGACTGTGATGATAATTATGATCGTAGCATCCTCTGCATCACCAATGCTGCCTAATAAGAGATGATGACTAGCGCATCCTCTGCGTCATAAGAAGAAGATGATGACTAAGGTGTTCAGGATGATAAGAATGAGGGTGCTGACCGTCATGATGATGCTGAAACGAGCGAACCAGAGATGATGATGATGACCATGATGATGGGGACTGTGATGATAGCTATCATGGTAGCGTCCTCTGCATCACCAAACGAACAAAAAAGAGATGATGATGACCATGATGGTGATGATGATGACGAGAAGGATGGTGATGATGATGATGACTATCATCATGATGATGATAAGGATGATGATGATGATGATGATGGCTGTGATGATAGCTATCATTGTAGCATCCTCTGCAGCGCCAATGCTGTCTAATAAGAGATGATGATGACTAAGATGATAATGATGATACGGATGAGGACTGCGATGATAACTATCATCGTAGCATCCTCTGCATCAGTAATGCTGTTTTGCCACACTTACAAGAACAAGAAAGAGATGATGATGACCATGATGATGATGATGATGGTGATGATAAGGGTGACGATGATGATGACCATGATGATGATGAGACATGATTATCATGCTGACGGCTGGTGATGCTGAGGATGTATCATGCAAAAGATACCGCGAAGTTTCGCAGCAACAAATAGTTGTTTTTCTGGTGCGAAAAATGTATACAGGATTGCCGTAACGCAGGGAATGCAGGCGCATCATGGGAATAATGCTGGGGATGCTGCGCTACGTCGTTTTTTGCCGCGAAAAATGAGGGCTGCAGAGCTTGCGCGGAGGCCTCGCGGCTGATTACGAGCAGCCGGATGGCAGAAGGATTGCTAGGAGTGAGCGTTGGTGATGCAGATTGAAAGTCCAGCAATCCTCATGATAATTATGTCCACGCATCTTTCGCATTTCAATTCAGCTGCCAATCATCACGACGCATCCTCAGCATCCCCAGCAACCATCGTGATAACGCATCTTTTGCATCTCAAGTCGCATCATGACGAATCGTCAGCACCGCCAGCAGTCATGATGATAATAATCATGACGACGCATCCTCTGCGTCACCAATGCTGTCTAACGCCACACTTGAAATGTGTAGTATAGAAAGAGATGGTGACGACTGCGACAAAGATGAGGATAGTGACGACGAGGGTGACAAGGATGCAGTCATCATGATAATCTGTTTAACTGCCCAACAATCCTCATGATAATCATGTCCACGCATCTTTTGATGATAGTCATGACGACGCACCCTCTGCATCACCAATGCTCTCGAACGCCACACTTGAGATGTATAGTCTAGAAAGAGATGGTGGTGACTATGACGATGATGATGATATTGACGGCGAAGCAGTCATCATGACAAGCATGTATCTCTCCAGCAGTCCTCACGCTTCAAATTGGCTGATAATCATCATGACGCATCCTCAGCATCACCAGCAGTCATCAGGATAATCATGTCCACGCATCTTGCGCATCTCAAGTCGCATGATAATCAGCTCTTTCAAAAGTATGCGTGTCAAGTGTGGCGTTAGAGCATTGGTGATGCAGAGGATGCGTCGCCATGAGTATCATCATGACTACTGGTGATGCTGAGGATGCGTCCTCGTACGATGATGATGATGATGATGATATTGATGACCAGGGCTGATAATCATCATGCCTCCCGCGCATCACCAGCAATCATCATGATAATCGTGTCCGTGCAGCTTTTGCATCTCCAATCGGATGACGCATCCTCAGCATCGCCAGCAGTCGTGATCATGACGACGCATCCTCGGCATCACCAATGCTCTCCAACGCCACGCTTGAAATGTGTAGTACAGAAAGAGATGGTGATGACTACGATGATGATGATGCTATTGATGATGAGGGTGACAAGGATGATGACTGTTATGATAATTGTTCAGCAGTCATGATGATAACCACGCATCTTTTGCATTTCAAATCGGATGATAATCATCATGACGCATCCTCAGCATCACCAGCAGTCATCATGATAATCATGTCCACGCATCTTTTACATCTAGCTTGTTCATCTCTGCTACAATTGAAGTCGAAAGAAGAGATGATGATGATAATCATGATGACGATCTTGTTGCCACCCTTCCCGGCGCCTCCCCTGTGGGGAAGGGGTCGGCGGATATACATACTATACATACACACATTGACATCAGCCCCCCCCATGATCTACTTGTTGTGTCTTGAAGATTTGGCAACTACTTCGTATATATATATAATGAAAATACAAAGTTTCAGGCTAGACTGCCTGGTGCTGTGGTCTTTATGAATTGTAGAATGATGTAGAGCCATGTAGAATCCCGAACGTGCATGTACAACCCCTCTGACCAGACAACTCTTACAAAGTGCCAAGAACCACGGTGTTCTGACGTTGTTTTGATATATGCAAGCATTAGGTCTGATATATACATACACGATACCTATGTAAAGACAACTGAGGAAAATTCTTAAAGCACAAAGACATCTCGAGTTGTTTTGCTTTTTGTGCGGGATACTGTCCAAAAAGCTGAGAAAAAAACAAAAAACCCTCGAGAGTATCCGAGGCAAAGTATAATATTATGAGCCATTCGGATGCTGAAGAAGAATTGGGTTGCACTATGGTTTATCCATGTAGTAGATGTGATGAAGCAAAACCCAGAAGAGACTTTCATAAAATGTATGATAGAGTGAATATGACAGAAATATTTTACAAAACTTGCAAGGAATGTAGAGAAAAGGCCAAAGCAACTAAAGAAAGCAAAAAAGAGCAGAAAACAAACCAACAACAGAACCTAACAACAAACATGCACAAAGTCAAACCTTTAATACCTTAGATTGAACGCACTGGACCTTCCCCATCTTTCCATACACATTTCATCATCAATTGACTTATTATCCTGAACTTAAGTTATAAAATTCTATCTACCTAACCTTGCCCATAATATTTCTACAAAATTTATGATAAACATATTGTAAGATAAATTATCCTAATTTTTGGAATAATATTTTTGAAAATTTGTTTTTTGAAAAATATGTTTTGAAGAATTATTTTTGTTTTTTTTATGAATAAACTTAACCTTGTCCATCTTTTCTACCATCCAATAACCATATCCTATGAACCACCCTATACTCCTATTTCCACTCAAGCATCCTAACAATGACAAGAATGATGGAATAGAAAATGAGAAAAATGTGACTTTTTTGATGGATTTTGAGGTTGAGACTGTTATGAAATGTTTTGAGTGGAAATATGCATAATGAATAAGGATGACGATTTGAATAGTAAAAAAAATGGTTAAAAATGTTGTTTTTGCGTAGGGGGGGGGGGCTACACTAGGATACCCAAAAAAGATGGGCAAGCCCTCCTCTAACTGGTGCGGGGGGGGGGGGGGGGGGGCTGGGCATTTGTATATATGCTACCTTCTTGTAGTGCTTTCCACGTTTTTTGTGGTTTAAGGAAAGCAGCAAAAACGGGTGCTTTAAACGGTTTACACGGTTTTGATTTTTCCTCCAATTGACGGCTTAAGCGGTTTAGACGGTTTTGGGTCCAGAGGAGAGGGGTTAAACGGTTGAGCCGGACCTCGTCGGTATAGACGGTTTTGGACCCACCTAACTTATCTGACTGGCTTAAATGGTTGAGTTGGAGAGTTTGTTTCCTTTTGCAGATTGCTGACAGATGAAGACAGACATTGGGTAGGGGGAGGGGGGTGCCACATACATGTATGCATTTACATATGGTACCGCAAAAGCTTAAATTTGTCCTTGACCGAAAAACAGTGGAACAACGCATACTTATCCACCCCTTGCAGGTGAACCGTGACAGAGTTTCCTGCGTAAATCAGGCAATATTGCAACACACAGTGGAACAATGCACGTGGTTTGCATTTTCCGCACTTGTCATAGGCCACATTTTAGTCCTGAAAGTTTACCATTTCCTTTACCCAGTAATGGCAACGTTTTGGACGTATGTAGTTACATCGGGCAGTTTTATTGTTACACCTTTCCACAGAAAGAGTAAAGGCGGAAACAGTAAAGCGATTGGACCCTTTCTGAGCTTCATCGGGCGTGCTAGCGCGCATGTGCAACGCCGCGTTCCAGTAATCAACTTGTGGATGCGTGCTGCGGAGTGGGTTTTTTTCAATTCACAAGAAATTGCAGCCGGTTAAACTTGAAAAGCGTGTTGAGTTTGATATCCTTACGAAATTTGAAATTCAATTTCAGTAGCTGTCAACTACAATGATTGAATTGAATAGGCAAGCGGCGCGCAACTGGGATAGAATCTTTGCAAGTGTTTTAATGAGCTGAGCTCATATGTAAATGCAACGGCACAAGGACGCACTTGTACTTGTCAGTTGCAAGAGGGAATGAATTGCTTTCTCCTGATTTGATAAATATCTTTGCCAAACGAAAAGAACGCACCAAGTAAAAGAGTGCGTTGCAACTGCCAAAGCATTCTTCGCGTACCGCTCTTGTGCTGAAAGGTTGAGCGGGAGCTGTCGCAGTGCACTTCGTAAAGTCCAATGTCACTTGAAGTGCACCTCGAATGTGACTGTCGAGCTGCTTAAACCTGTCAATGCAGTTCAGAGTCAGCTGTATTTTTATGTACATGCACATATGTATATAAACATATTTATTTTTGACCCGCCGCGCCAGCGCTTGAATGAAGCGTTTGTGCAGGCGAATGCTGATCTACGCCCGTGGGCCTGATGACATTGGCAAGCTAGTCAAGGCCAAGACGACTGACAGTTCTGATTGTTTTGCGTTTGGGACCTGGCAGGAAGTGGATGCTGGATTTGTGGCTTCGCAAGGATGGCCCTTTGCTCCAGCCTCAGCACGATTTGCTGGCCTTCCAAAGCTGCAATCCCGAGGCTGCGTTCTTCACGTTCTTGCCCTTTGTTCTTTTCGGCGTTTGCTCAGCCTGCCACTGCTGCCGCTGCTTCCGCTGCTACTCCAAAGAGAGAAGGACTGGCAGCCGCAAAAGGATTGCAAAGCTGGCCATCTCCACGTGCCAGGACCGCAAGAGTCGGGAAGATTGGCTTCTTTGTTGTGCTGGGGCTGTTGATACTTGGCGCGTCTACGTGCGCTGGCGCAGCTGCAGCAGGCTTGCGAACCCTCGAAGAGGCCAACGCAGCCAGCTCTTGCGCGTCGGCGTGCCTCCGAGCCAAGCCTGCTAAGTGTTTCTGAAAGCTTTTAAGCCAGCTTGGAGCGAAGTGGAAGACTCAAGCCTTGAGCCCAAGGCAGCTTCTGCGGGCTGTACTTCAAGGGGCAGAAGAGTTCGTGGGTCTTCAGCCACTGCTGCAGCACATGGAATCTCTTTTGGAGCCATCGCCAGGCATCGCTTGAGAGCTCAAGACGCAATCGGCCCCCCTTCCTGTCAAACCATCTTTCTCTTTTTCCTGCGCTTTATCACACAAATCCTGTTTCCTTCTCATTCATGTTTTGACGAATGCCCGTCTGCATACACACACCCCTTGATACGCGGGACAGAGTGCGGGACAAAGTGCCGGACAAAGTGCGGGACAAACTGCTGGACAAACAACTGTCCGGCAAGTTGTCCGAGTGGTTTCCGAGCGATATCCAAGTGGTTTCCGAGTGGTTTCTAAGTGGTTTTGGCGTGTTGCAAACCTGTCCGCAGACTTGTCCGGCAAATTGTCCCGGGTTTTTGGGCCCTGTCCGGGGGGTTGTCGGGGGTTTGTCCTGGTTTGTCCCGGGCTTTTTGGCCCTCAAAGCTGCCCGGGACGGTTTGTCCGGGGTTTGTCTGGGGAGTTGTCCCGCCGATTTTGTGCCCTCCAGCTGTCCGGAGGGTTGTCCGGGGTTTGTCCGGGGGGTTGTCCGTTTGGACCCAAAATATGAAAACAGGTGTTTATGCAGAACCGCCTCTGTCAAGTAATGTTTCTCTTGTGGTTTTCTTGAAAGAAGCTGAAACATTTGGCGTCGCAGCCTAGATTGCCAGGGCGGCGTAAGGTTCCGGGTTGCACGTGGTTCCGGATGTTCTGCAAGCGGTGCGGGAGTATGCTCTCAGCAATTTTTCACACAGTGCATTCACGAAGGATCGAGCTCAAAAGGATGTTGGCAAATCCACCGGAAATCCACCTGAACTGGTTGGATATTGCCTCGATTTGCAAAGCTTGCTTTGCGTGGAGGTTCTGTGGTCGATTGCGGCCTGGGTCTTCCTCCTATGTTGATCCGCAAGCCGCAGCCAGATCCAGGCCATGAGACACTGCCGCCACAAAAAGGGTATCGCCTTCTGAGAGAGCAGGCTGCGCAGGGCTTTATTGTGGTATCGAATGTTCCAACAACAAGCCGAAGCGCAGGCCGACCTCCACCTCTTCATTGTAATCAGAACTTCGACCCAAGACAACATTCATCCGTCAGGAGGCTCGCGACAGAACATCTGACAAAGGGCAATCGCCAGCACGGGAACAATAGTGACTCTGTCCAAAAGGCGTTCCGCGGCCTGTTCCATCGCCCCTTTTACGCAAATTTGACCAGAGTGTAGAGGAAGCCCGCCAGTCGGCAGACATCAGAAAAGATCTTGCCCTCCAAAGTCTCAGAATGAGCCCTAGGTCTTCAGGTGAGAGACAAGGTGTTTTATTGGCGTGAGGGCAACTCCAACATCCGTTCCGATGGAAGGGAGGCATGGTTAAAAGGGAGCATCGTTTGCTTTGAAGGAGCGAGGATAGGCCTTGATCTTGGAACTCGTCTCAGAAAAAGGTGAACGTGAGAAAGCTCCATGTGGCAAAACCAGGAAAGAAGCCCTGCAAAAGGAACAAGGAGGCTCCTCAACGAGCTTCGAGTCTTTGATGCTGACAGGGAAAACAAGGCCTGAGCCTGTAGTAACATGTTTGCGGAAGACCTCCCAGAACACGCGCGTTGGGACTAAAGTTGGAACCCGCGCTGACATCAGAAATGGGTTTGATGTCATGACCTCCAAGGGACGACGCATGGTCATGGATATCATCAGAGAAGAAAGCTAACGATCGAGATCGCCAAGCGCGCAAGTCATGAGAGATCAGCCGACGTATTGCAGTTATGCGCTGGTCCCAGCCTGCAGCAGCAGTTTGCGACAGCATCCTGCCCAACCTGCAACAGCACCCCACAACTCTGACTCTCGGCAGGCAGCCTGCAGCAGCACCCTGCAATTCGAAATATCAGCCGGGCAGCTGCGCCCCAAACAGCTTCGCAACTTGGGGTCTTGGCGTGCAACAGTCTCCGCTGATCTTGACGTCGTAGCGATTCTCCGGTGCGACAGCCACAATGATGATCGCATTGTGTTCTGCGCAACGTCTCAATCGATCCTGGAGAATCTTGCGCAGCTCTTAACCACTGGTGGCCTGAGTCATGGGACATTCTCTGAGTGAGCAACGGTGCGCTGCGCCGGCAGAGCGCGTCGGAGCCCGATTACTGACTAACCGTCGTTGATGTTGATCCGTCCTGCGCTTGTCCTGGCACACACCTCCATGCCGCCCGAAAACTCGTACTTGCGACGATCTGGATTGAGCGCTGCGCGGCTGTCCTGGTGGCACGCTCACTGGATGACCTGATCGTTGGCGATCTGCGCAGGTGCCGTCATACGCCGGAAACACAAACGCCAGCTCATATTTGGACGTTAGGAAGCGAAGGCAGGGAATAATGTCATGAGCAATAGGCTCGGCTTGTTGCTGGTCGCAGCGTTGCAGTTTGCCCGGAGCTCGCTCGTTTGGCTACCATCTCGCGTTTGGCGTCTGAGAGGCGCGCAAATCCAGCAAAACAGTGGCTCTAAGAGGCAGCGCGTTAAATCAACCAACTCCGGCAAGCGAGGGCTCAATATCATCTGTGCAGGTTTCGGCAAGCGAGTTGCCCGAGGATTCTGTTGCGATTTTTCCCGAAAGCATTGCGAAGGTTCTTCCGGTAAAATTGCCAGCCTTTTCACACAGCCAAACTTGCACGAGCCAACTTGCGCGAGAACAACTTGCGCGAGATATCGCAAGACATGTCGACACGAACGTAACGAGATATCACACAACCAAACCTGCACGAGACATGTCGACACGAGATATCACACAGCCAAATATCACAGCCAAACTTGCACGAGACATGTCGACACGAAAGTAATTAGTTAGTCTCTGAAGGCGGCGCGGCGGGGCCGAACATGCCCTGCGAAAATGACACCCTCTGCAGGGATTCGCGTGGTCGAGGTGCAAAACTGGGACCTCTGCGTGGATTGGCGTGGTTGATGCGCAAAAACAGAAGACTTTTACGATTTCTGCGGTTTGCGCGCGGGGATCGTGCGTGTCAAAGCCCTCTCGCTGTGGCCCCGCGCGAATTCGTCTGAGTCTTGGCGAACCCTCTGTGCAGATCGTGCGTGTCGAAGCGCTCGCGCTGGGGCGCCGTGCGATTTTCTTGTTGACGAAACGGCGTTTGGAAGTTGTCTCGTGGTTTGCTCGCCTGCTTTCCGCGGCAGCTCCGCTTGCTCGGGGAACTTGCTCATGGAAGCTTGACCCGAGCGTGCGCAGCACACTTGTGCGTATCGCAACTTGCACAGAGCATTTGCGCACGCAGAGCAAGTTGCGCGGAAGACTTGGGCCGAGCGCTTGCGCAGAGCAACCCTTGCAGAGAGCTCGCAACACGGAAACAGACACACAAAGAACTGTGTGCGCATGTACATTGCTGGGCTTTGATACTTTCGCTTCACCAGATAGAAGCTAGAAGATGGGTGGCCCGAAAGCATGAGCAGCGGCAGCAAGTTCTCCTAGCAATCCTAGCAAGTTCTCCGCGCAGTTGCGCGCCTGAGCAAGTTGTTGGCGCGAGTTCCTCTGAGCAAGTTCTCCAAGCAAGTTCTCTGTGCAAGTTGCTCTGAGCAAGTTGTCGGCGCGATTTCCTCTGAGCAAGTTCTCCAAGCAAGTTCTCTGTGCAAGTTGCTCTGAGCAAGTTGTCGGCGCGATTTCCTCTGGGCAAGTTCTCCAAGCGAGCTCTCTCAGCAAGTTTAACTGAACAAGTTTCCTCCATTTGCGAAACACTTTCGTACTTAAAAGTTGCGCTTTTCCAGCCGGAGCTGCGAAGGTTTACTTCGCGTGCTACTTCGGTACTCAAAAATTGCGATTTTTCAGCCGGAGCTGCGAAAGCTTACGTCGCGTGCTACTTTGGCACTGAAAAGTTGCCATTTTCCAGCTGGAGCTGCCGCGCGCGGACCAGGCGGGAATCGAACCCGCTACCGCGGGATTGGTTCAAAAGGCTAGTTCGCGAGCAATAGAATCGCACGGCGCCACAGCGAGAGCGCTTCGACACGCACGATCTCCGCAGCGAGACAAAGACGAATTCGCACGGTGCCACGGCGAGAGCACGTCGACGTGCAAAAACGCACAAAACCTAGCGTTTTTGCACCCCGACCACGCCGACCCCCGCAGAGGGTTGCACGGGCACCGCAAAAACGCGAAAAACAAACCTTGAGTTTTTGCACCTCGACCACGCCGATCCCCGCAGAGGGATGAACTCGAGTTTTTGTACCTCGACTACGTCGATTTCCGCAGAGGGTCGCGCGGGCACCGCAAGAATCGCAAAACAACTCGAGTTTTTGCACCTCGGCCACGCCGATCCCCGCAAAAATCGCGAACCCGACCGACGATCAAAGTCCTGCCCCGGCACCCTAGAAAGCTACACTTAGCTTACATAGCTGCTATCGCCGAAGCTATGCGCTTTTCTCTATGCGCTCGGCTCTATGCACTTGGCTCTATGCACTTGGCTCCATGCGCTCGGCTCTATGCACTCGGCTCTGTGCACTCGGCTCTATGCACTTGGCTCTATGCACTTGGCTCTAAACACTTGGCTCTTGGCTCTACTCTGTGCACTCGGCTCTACGCACTCGGCTTTACGCAATTGGCTCTGCGCACTTGGCTCTATGCACTTATGCCCTCGGCTCTATGCACTCGGCTCTGTGCACTCCACTCTATGCACTTGGCTCTATGCACTCGGCTCTATGCACTTCTGTGCACTCGGCTCTATGCACTTGGCTCTATGCACTTGGCTCTATGCACTTGGCTCTTGGCTCTACTCTGTGCACTCGGCTCTACGCACTCGTTACGCACTTGGCTCTATGCACTTGGCTCTATGCACTTGGCTCTATGCACTTACGCCCTCGGCTCTATGCACTCGGCTCTGTGCACTTGACTCTATGCACTTGGCTCTATGCACGGCTCTATCCACTTGGCTCCATGCAGCCAAGTGCATAGAGCCAAGTGCGTAAAGCCGAGTGCGTAGAGCCGAGTGCGCAGAGTAGAGCCAAGAGCCAAGTGCATAGCGCCAAGTGCATAGAGCCAAGTGCATAGAGCCGAGTGCACAGAGCCGAGTGCATAGAGCCAAGTGCGTAGAGCCAACTGGCTCTATGCACTTATGCCCTCGGCTCTATGCGCTCGGCTCTGTGCGCTCAACTCTATGCACTTGGCTCTAACGGCTCTATCCACTTGGCTCCATGCAGTTGGCTCTATGTATTTGACTCTGCGCAAGACAAGAGAAAGAAGAAGAAGAAGCAAAAACACTTGAGACAAGCATATGTCAACTCAGGATCAACCTGAAGAAAAGAAAGAAGGAAAGATGGAGAATACGAAATATGAAACTTGAGCAAGGGTCAACGAGACAGAAAAGGCAAGAACTTTAAACCAAGCAGAGAACAGCTGCCCGTTCACGGGCCGGACGGCCAACGGGCCTGACGGCCCTGACGGGCCTGCCGGGCCTGACGGGCCTGACGGCTTCACAGGCTTGACGGGCTTTGGGCTTCGCAGGTTTGACGGGCCGACGGGCCTCGCGCGTGCAACGCGCAAAACCTTACGGGTTAACGGGCTCGACAGGCTTGACAGGACCGGCTTTCCCGGAAAGATATATCAATAGAAAGACAGGTAGGATAAACAAATAGACTGATAGATGAATTAGATGAGTGATTAGATAGAGATTTACATAGATAGGAGAAAGGTAGACAGATACATGGGCAGATAGACAGTGGTTACACTAGAAGTGGACAGTCGGTAATGGAGACGTGGATGCAGGGCTAGCAGGATAGAGGCCAGGAGATAGGGAGATTGCAAAAGAACAGGCAAGCGGACTAGATGTAGGTTAGGTCGCAAAATTGACTCGATTAAGCAAATATGTTGGTAAAAGCGCAGACGCGTAGATGGACACAGACAAACAAATAGACAGGTGGATAGAGGTGAACGAGTAGGCAGGGATAAGCGCGCGC